CATCATTTTTGCCTATATTCCCTGACACAGCAAAATCTAATATCATCATCTGCCTCCCTCCTGCAATTACAACACTGATTTTATTTGCCTGGTGTCATGCTGTGTACATGTTCGTATTCCCTGTGAGACTTGTGTGCATCCTGAAGGCAAGGATTACATCTGCTCCTCTTTGGATTCCTCACAGAGCCCTTGAGAGTCTTATTTGAACTAACGTTACCCGAGTCACACCACAATGAATTATACTATCTAAGTGGTACTTACAGTGTAACAAACTGGGGAGGACACCGTAGCCTTGGACTTTGCCTTCTAAGAACAGGGAATCTAGCTGAGGAGAAACCAAGAGAGACCCTAGAATTTACTCCATTCTCACACATGGGGGCTTACCCTCCCCCAGCTGGGTCTCTATTGTTCTGCTTCCCTTCATCCCCTAAAATTCTCTGTGGCTGCCAATGCCCCGTTTAAACACACCATTCTAATCTACTTGTGTATTGTTTTTCAAAAAGGCACTCTGTCTTGTTCATTACGTTATTCCCAGCACCTAATCCAGTCCTAGAACAAAGGATACCCTTGATAACTGTTCAATGAATAAAGTAATGAATAAATGAATATACACAGAAAAACATCTGTACCTTGGAATATCACCACGCTTTTTGCATCCTTGGCATTTCCTTATTTGGGGGAAGATGGGCAGGAAAGGGAGAAAAAGGAAAAGGGGACTGGCATTTATTGAACACTTACAATATAGGGGTCACAGGGCTAAAGTTATTACATATGCTTCCTTATTTAATTTTGACAGTGGAGGACAGTGGGGTTGTTTACCATGCTAAGATCACAGACAAGGAAAGTTCTGTTTTACAGAGAGAGATGATGTCCTTTGTGGGGAGTAACGGGGATGGAGGGGACACCCCCATGTTGGGAAAATTGAAGTCTAAGAGCTAAAGAAGGTCATACAGGTGAGGGGCCAGAGAGAGGCACCCAGGACAGGGTCAGGAGACCCTCAGGAATAAGCCAGTGACACTTTTTGGGCTTGTTTCCTCATCAGCAAAATGAGGGTGACAGTCTATAGCCTAAGTTCTTTCACAACTCCGTGACTCCATGTTGGAATACTTCCGATTAAACCCATCTTTTCTTGTGTGTGGAATGAATGAAAGAATGAATAAATGTACAAATGAAGACGTGTACGATTCAGTGAAGCCTCTGAAACATACTCTCTTGCTGCTATCCCCCACCCTTGGGTGTGGCTCCACCTTTCTGACCCCAACCTCCCCAAGGTGTGCCATTATAACTCCTGGCTGCTAACAGACCCGCCTCCCACTCTGAGTCCCCATCAGTCTGAAAAGACCAGGCGGCTGCTCTTCACTACCATCTACCACTCGTAGGACGCCACTACGTGGGTGAGTAAATAATGATTCTTCCAGGCAGGTAGATTTCTTTTGAAAACTGAGCACCTCCTGACCTGTTGGCCTCCCTCATCTCTGAATTTGCCTGTTATGGTGTGAATGATCCAGCACCCAAGCCAGACAAAGGCCCTTGAGCTAGGCCCCTAACTGAGGTGGACAAATAAAAATACTCAAGGATATGCCTCCAGGAGCAACACTCAAATGAGGCCCAGGGGGCAGAGAATGGCAAAGCCTGAGCCCTACATCAACCCTAAGCCAGGACGTGTTTATCAGAGGGCAAGTGAAGCCATGAGTCAAACAAGGGTCTCTCATTTGCTTTCTGGTTGTTCTCTGCCTTCTTAGTGGTGTTTATAGATCACGATCTGTTACAGCAAGGGGATATCTTACTAGACTTTCCGCGAGAGAATTCTCCCTTCAGATGCTAACCTCTCCCACAGAACTGGCACTCTGTGTTTTAATAACATGTTTACCTCCATCACTACCCTCTCCTGCTTCCCAATGTCTTAGTCTTCTTTGGATATCCCCAAGTTCCTAGGCTCGGAAAGCATTTGGTCAAAGTTAGTTGACTGAATGAATAAACAAATGAACAAACATATATAACCCCTCTTATCTTCAATATTGTAAGAGGATACTGAGGCAGAGAAGTTAGTTAACCTGCCCAAGGTCATATAGCCAACTACAGGCTGGGGGTGCCTGAGTTAAAAGCCAAAGGTAACCCTGTCTTAGCTCCTCCATTACATGATGTTGAGCAGGAGCTAACAGTAATCAAGCATTAACAGAATGTCAGGCACTATGCTGTGTGTCACAAGGCTGTAATATGATCATTCCCATTTTACAGATGAGAATACTGAGGGTCAGAGACATACATGCTCTTTGCCTAAATTGCTCCTCACTCTTCCCATCTACTGATTCCTGTTTCGGTAACAAAAATTTATCCTTCAGGCTCCAGCCTAAAACGTGTTTCTTTCAGGAAGCCTTCCCTCTCTGACCCCTCAAAATCTGGTGGGTAGTTCCCTCTGCTGTCCCACAGTCCTCTATGGTTTTGTCCCTATGATGGCATTTATGTACTGTGCTGTCACTGATTGTTTCAGGATCTGTTTCCCTCATCAAACTTTAAACTCCTCAAGGGCAGAGGGCAAGGTCTGTATTGCAAATATACTGAATTCTTACACTAGGCAAGATCCCTGGCATGTAGCAGGAGACCAGCAAGTATTCATGGAAGAAAATACGGTCACAGGAAAGGAAGGAAGAATGGAAGGAAGGACATGAGCTTCCCAAAGCCACAGAGTTGGGAAGTAGGGAAGCTGGGATTTGAATCCAGGCCATGAAAACATACAACCTCCTCTTAAGGGTAGGGACCCTTTTATTTTATTCTTGTGGATTTGTCTTGGAACTTGGCACATTACCATTCTCCTATTAACATGTGTTAATCAACAGACTTTTAAGCTTTCACAGATGAGGGACAGTGGGTGTGATTTTCCAGGATGCCTGCAGTCCTGAGAGGATAGGGTGGGTGCCCTATGCATACCTGGGGCTCCAGCTGATTTATGTTGAGTCCAACCCATTGTAATGATGACGGTGACTCAGATCAGGGAAGAGCTATCCAGTGGTCTGTGCAATGGCCTTCAAGGCCTGTGGGATGGGAGAGCCTAGAAAGATCAAGACACTGAAACTATGCTTCAGGTCAAGTTTTTCTACATGTTTTAGGACTAAAAGAGGCATAGAATGATGTAAAATGCAGGGTATCTTACCACCCCAGAGGCTTAGGAGTGGTTTCTGGAGTTTAAACTCAGTTCATAATCATGAAAAACAGGTAGTTTCCCTGGGAGTTGAATTAAGTACGAAGAATTTCTGTTTTTGGTGTACTTCCCCACAAGCCCCCAAGAAGTTTATAAAAGGCATAGCATACAAAGCACACTGAAAATACAAATTATTCACTTTAAGATTGGGAAATATTTTTTCCTCTCTGAAAATTTCAGTTATCCCCATCCCCCATCACCGCTACAAGAACAACATAGCTTTCACAAATTTTTACATTTATGATTTCTCTTTGAGATTTTATTTTAATAAAGAACTTTACTAACTTTTGAAGCTGCAAACCATATGCGACTTTTCGTGTCCCTGTGAACCTCTGTAGACTATGATTTGGGACACTGACTTGCCAAAGCAATGGTAGAGTTCGGGAGTGGACAAACTCCAGCCTATGAACTGAGTGACTAGAGTTGAGACAGAACTCTACCTCTGCCTCCCTACGTGACTCTGGGGAAGTCCCAATGTAGTTTCCTTTTCTATGACAAGGGCATGAAAAGGCCTCTCTACTGACTCCTTGGACCATCCAAAGATCTACTGAGCCACTACCTTGGGGACATACTTTAAGAAGCAAATGACACCTACAAATATAAGTAAATTAGGGTAAGAATAAATCAAAGAAGAATGAAGCTTCATATCTAAATATATTATCTAGATAATGAAAACCTTCATAAGGGCAAAACCATATTTTATTTAAACTTTGAGGATATTCCTAGACTAGATTACCACCTTCTTCAAGCAAAGCACACTGACTCAGAGTTTATCAATTACTGTCTTCAGGGGCTATGGAGGCAATGAACTTGTGTTATACTGATTTCCTCAATACTGACTGGGCTCTATCTTTTACAGTTCTGGATTCTTATGTTCTGAAAGCATTTTTCTGTCTTTCTCTCTCTGGTAGGCAGTCATTTCTTCTGGCAGTCAAGGCTGCTGCGTCTCAGATTTCTTGATCCCTGCTTCTAAACCACTTTAGATTGGAAAACCTGATTAGTTAAAATAGAGTGCAATATAAGAACCTATTTAAAGTTCTGTGAGCAAACCAAAGGAGTTTTATACGTCTTTATATTCATCTTCCTAAGGTCATGTGCCTCCCTGCTCAAAGCTTTCTAATGCTTTCCATTCCTACCAAAACAAGTTCAGACATCCCAGGCTGGTCGTTTTCAAGTCCTTCCATCTTCTGTCCTCAAAGCACATTTGCATTATTCCTCTTAGTGTGCTCCAGGTATTTTCCCATGCTCATGAGTGCTGCTCAGCCTCCTCTTGTGCCTTGAAACACTGCCCACCCTTCAAACCTCAGTTCCTTACTGAAGTCTCTCCATGCCCTCAGTTACGAATAACCACTCCAAGCCCTGAACTCTCATATCATTTTGTCCGCATTCTCCTTTGGCATTTATCACTTTCTGACTTAAACTAATACATGTTGTTAGGATCATGTCTACTTCTTTTTATTATCCTGAAATTTCCTTGGAGAGGTTCCCTACAATCCCTGTTACTGCCTCTTGCTGAATGAATGCATAAATGAGTGAGCAGTGACAAATATTTTGTCAGCTCTTATTCTCTGACCCATGTTCGCCAATGTTCCCATAGCTGAGGCTGCTGCATACATAAGCTCCTATCAGATTCACTATGACTGGGAGTGACTCTTCCTTGAGACAACTGATAAGCCAAGTGGCTGTCCTTCCCTAGCCTCCGGGGCACTTGGTCTCCCTCTCCCCTTTCCCCTCCCAGAAGAGGATCTGGATGAAGCATTCCACCCATGTGGAGTGGTAGGTGGCCTGCTGGGGCACTCACCGCTGCCAAGCCGCAGGAGCAGCACGTCCTGGAGCCTCCGGTTGAGGTCACGGAGCTCCTTCATTTCAGACACAAGTGCCCCGTACTCCTTGAGCTTCTTGGCCTGTTGTACCAGCTGCCTGCGAGTCCGCTCCAGCTCCTGCTGGAGGTGGCGCATCTCTTCCTGCTGCTGCTGGTAATTGCGCAGCAGCTCCTCATACAGAGCCCGGGGCACCACAGCATCTTCTAGACTGTCCATGTCCTCTGTGCCTGGCGAGGCCTCCACGAAGACCTCTTCCGGACACGTGCTATGGCCCAGGCTCAGGCCGTTCTGCTTCTCTAGCCGAGCCACCACGGCCTCGATGCTCTTGTGCGCCACTTCGCTCGGCTTCCGCCCCTCAGGTCTCTGTGTAGGACAACGAGAATCAGTTCAGGCAAGGGCAGCTGGGACTTTCTTGGACTGCAGCTCAATATTTCCCCAGACAATCCTAAAATCACAGAATCACAGAACATCAGTGCTTGGAGAAACTTGTGCACACACTTAGTCAAAGCCTTTCATTTTATAAATGGGGAAACATTTTATAAATTTTATAAATGGGGTTCTGAGTGGGGAAGAGGCTTGCCCAAAGTCATAACCAGGATACTGATTTCCCAGGCCTGCATTTTTTCCTTTCACCACTCTGCCTCCTGGATGCATATATCATGACCACCCTTCCCAATTCCCCAGGCCCCAGCCCACCCACAATGCCTAGGCAGTGGCTTGCGCATGGGGGTGTTCAATATGTATTTGTGGAGAATCAGGGAGAAATCAGGCCAGGCCAACTGATCCCAGAGGAGTCACAAATTTCTTCAACAACAAAAACAAAAAAATTCCTCCCCTAAAGGCAATTCACCATGTAAACTTTTCATCAAGAATGCTTTAGATGGAAAGGATGTTAAAAACTCTAGTCTACTCTAATCTAGGGAAGAAAACATGTCATATTTTCTCTGTTCCTCCTCTGCCTACTCACTCAGAACTGGCACTCAGTAGGGGCTTGAAAAATGTTTACTCAACCGAAAAGTTCAAAGAATTCTAGCATTGAAAGGTACTTTCAGTTTCACTTCCTCATGTTCCAGGTGAGAAAACTGAGGGTCAGAGAGGGGAAGGACTACACTTAGGGTCACATAGTGAGATACAAACAGAGCCAAAACCAGAATTTGGAATCTAACTTCCAGTACAAGGCTCCTTCCCCCCACGTCTGCCAGCCTCTCCCTCAGCAAGACAGTGGATAGAGAGAAGAAAGTTAATTTACAAAAGAATTATCCAGGACTCCCCCAGGGCTTGGGGTTCTACTGCCAGAGGAAATTCTAGCTCAGGTAGCTACAGCTTCTACTGAGGGGCAGTGACAGTTACAGGATCAAATGAATTCTTTCACTCAGGGTAGTAGGGTTAGGAGCTCTCCTGACTGGGGCACTTGTAGGAAGTGCAGACGACTGAGGACAGGCACTTCTCACTAAGTTTCAGGAAATTTAAGGAAAACCAAACCAAATCAAACCCAGCCCAATGAAACTATGACTCTGATATTGTGTTACATGACAAAATCTTAAGTCGTTTTATCTGCTGGGATAAGGTGCTACCAGTGTAGATGAATTTATCATTTATCTAAAGTGATCGTTAAAATATGTCTGCGTCACAATAATGTGAGACCCCTGGAGGCAGGAACCATGTCTGGCTAATGGCTCCAGGTACCAGCACAGGGTCAGGCCCATAGCAGGAGTACAGTGAATGCCATGAACTGAACTCAGCTACATTTCCTGGGAACACCCTCAACCTGGTGTCCAAAATCAGACCATGGGCAATGCAGAAGACATCCCATTTCCTTATCTTCCTTCTCCCTTCCTCTCAGGTATCTACTGCACAGAAGAAAACAGCTAGCTTGCCGAACAAGATTTTCAGCAGTTTCCAGAGTAAAGGCTGGAGACCAACTGGGGCACGCAGCAAGAAAATACAACCTCATGCAAACGTTTTCATCTAACCCAAGGTCTCACAGATCCCTTTTGTGAACCTCGTGCACTTCCTAATGAGTCCAGCCTTAGCAATTTGGGGCAATCTGACAGTGACTGGCCCTAAACTTCTCCCCAAGAACAGCTGCTTAACATTGTTGGAGCTCAGCAGTGGCCTCTCCAGAGCTGTGGGCTAAGGAGAAACACACCGTTCCAAACCTCCAACAGCGATGACACTGCACAGACTACGCAAACAGGACCGTGCTTGGTGGCACAGCATGAATCAGGGCTCTCTGGAAAGTTGGCCAGCAAGGCAAATACACACTAGTTGTCCCATGCTTTCCCTACCCTGAAAAAAATCATGGCCTCTGATACCAGGGGACATTTACATGAGGAGAGGAAGCCAGACTGAAATCCTTTATCTATGAGGTATCTGAAAATGCTCCCGCATACTTCCAAAGAAAGAAAAGATTTTGTTACCTTGATGTGTCTAAGCTGTAAATCTTCTTCCCCATAATCTTTAACCTCTCCATCTTCTTCTACATGATTAAGAGAAAGCTTGGGGATTTTTATTTTCTTCTGCATCACACTGTTTTCAAGGTCAGATTTGTCTTCTAAAATGCATATCAAGAGAACAAGGTTCATCATGAGTTAAAATGAGTCATTATGAGTTTAGAATGCCCAAAACCTCAAATGCTAGAAAATAATTGAGGCCAGACCAGTTAAAAACGAAAAACAAACAAACAAACTCAAGGCCGGTTCCCTCTTGCATGCAGGCATCCTAATAGCAGTGCAGATCAAACTCTAGGAACAAAGGTGCTTGCGAAAAGCACTGTCATACAAAGTGTTGAAATAGCAGCCAGTGAATTTGCTTAGGGGTTTCTCTAAGTGTACCCTAATGGGTGGCCTTTTATGGAATTCTAGAATCTTGAATTGGAACAGCCCTTAGATTGCTATCTGATCTAAACTAAAATGGCCCATGAATCCCTCAACTCAACTGTGATCTTTCTAAGCCAAGTGTCTTCCCAGGAGAACTTGGTGGGTTTCTGTCAGCTCAAGTACCAATAGACATGAGAGAGATTATAGCTGATAGGGATGTAAGGAAGGGCAGGGGTATCTCCACAGCCCTACACAAGGCAGGCTAAGGTAAGGCAGACGGGGGAAGAATAACATTTATCCCCTTTTTACTGGTATCAAATCTCAGCATGCCTGAGTCTGAGGGACCTCAGTGAACAAGTGGTCCAACTCTCTCATGTTACATGAGGAAATTCAAACCCAGAGGATGGAAGAGGCTTGCCAACGGCATGAGCTGAGGAACAGCCAGGAGTGGGAAAGAGGCCTCTGGCACCTCGTCCACTGCTTACATGTGCTGACAACACATACTGAACGTAAAGTGCTACACAAATACAAAAGGATATTATTTCTACTCATTTTCTCATTCTTTAAGCTCAACTTCAGATAATCTGTTTTTTTTTTTTCTGCACAGATTTCAAACTGGACTTTCCAGATTTGTCTCTCACTGGATATGTCCAAAAATAAAATTTCAAACAAGAGGGCTCCAGAGGTAAAAATCTCAGTCTTTTCTGGAACTGTACCCTTGTGGTAAAATACTTTGTGTTCAAAGCTTAAATTGACACTTTAGAGACTGCTGTTTTTCATAGTCCTCAAAGGTTCCCATTGCTATATCCCAAATGTGTTTTGTAGCATGTTGCCCAATGTTGGATGTAGCATATGGCCAGGTAGTTAGTTAAATCCAGTCTTGAAGGGGTGTGTGTGTGTGTGTGTGTGTGTGTATACGTATGCATGTATTTGCATGTGTTAAACATGCTCTTACACTGTTCCCAGGCCAGGCTTCTCTCCTCACAACTTGTTAGTAAAGCTGAGAAGGCCGCTTATAAGCACATAACTATTCCAGAATGTACTCAAATGCTGAATCTTCCCAAACAGTCTTCGTGATGAAGGCCCAGCTGGTCAGAGGTGGGAGTCCAATATCAGAGACTTAAGTGTGAACCTCAGCTTTTCTATGACAGGAAGAGGACAGGTATGTAAGGGGCTTAATCTCTCTGGACATAATGGAGGTTGTGAGGATGAGAGCAATAATTCACGTAACTCACTGGACAATGCCTGCTACACACTGGCCATTCGATGGATGGCACAATATAATTGGTATTGTCAATGTGTTCTGAATCATTTTCTTCTCTTAAGCATAAAGTGAATAGAGATTTAATTTAAAAAAATGAAGAAATGATTTAAGTAGGGTAAGGATGATAAATGAACTGCTCAGAAAAAAAGGAGGTGGTCTTTGTTAACAACCCCCTACGGATAAAAATGGCCTTTCCCACTGAGCAGAGGAGCAACCCTTGGGTTTCTATTTTCACAACAATGGCTCGTTCTTTCACTCTTTGTGCCTATAAAATGCATCCAACGGGTTATGAACAACAATAGGGACTCGGGGTTTTCTAAAAGAGCAACAGTTTCCCTCCTACAAATCACTGCTGACTTATAAGTTAAAGGGATGCTAAAATGTAAAACCTAAAGAAAGTACTTCAGATGAAATTATCTTACCATGGTGTTTGTGTATGTGTGTACGTTTGTGTGTCTGTGTATGTGTGTGTGTGTGGAAAAAAACAGACAAAAAGAGAGAAACAGAGAGAGAGAGGATGAGGGTGGTATTAGGATTTCTGAATGTGTTGGGGCAAAGCTCCTGGGCTAGTCTTCAATTTGACAAGTTCAGGACAAAGTTTGACATGCAGAGCCACCAAACTAGAAATGACAAGCTATGTTATGCCTTCCTGGGCTGAAACTCTAGCTCAGGATCATGTTGGTGTGGAGAAAAGCAATCATTCGGACTCACAAAACCACATTAACATCTGGATGGAGAATGATCCTCAGATCATCCAATTCTATTTTTCAAAATGCAGATGAGAAAAATAAAGTTCTAAATGGTGAAGTCTGTGCATCCATGCATGCAACTCTCAGGCCCAGGAATAAAGGAGGGGCAGGATGAACAGGGTCCCTATCTTGGAGAGCTCACTGTTGTGCAAGGTCACAGAAGTTAGTGTCATAACATGAATGGGGGAGAACTTGGACCACTCCAGATCCAGAGCTTTGCTTTCTATGCCTCGACTTAACCTTTACTGAGAATTTACTATGTAGGATCTAAACTAGGTCCTAGGGACACAGATGAACAAACATCCAGCTGAGGATATAAGATAAAAACACAAGAAAAGATCACTCAAGATCTCAAAAGCTGAATTTGAATAAGGGAGAAGCAACTGCTAAAGGATTCTGGAAGCAAGGGAAATCACTTCGGTCAGTGTAACCCTGGAAGGCTTTTGAAAGGAGGTGGCATTTGAGCTGGACTCCTTACTTGCTAGGTAAGTTAGGAGTAAGTTAATTTACTTCTCTGAGGCTATTTCCTCATCTATGAATTGAAGTAAATAATTCCTACTCACATTGCAGAACATTGTGAAGATTACCAATTCGGTGTGTTAAAAACTTGAGTAGAGTGAATGGCACTTCAACAGTTGGTGCGCATAAAAGGATAGCCATTTAAAGGATGGTAAGAACCTGGACTACACAAGAGGGGTAAAGAATAGAAGCCAAATGGGGAAGGCTGGGGAAATATTTAGATCGAAATGGTTAGATCGAGATGGTTCAGTTACAGGCAGGAGGGAGAGGTGAGAAGGGAAGAAAAGGTGGTGGGAACTAGAAAATAAGTGGCCTTGAATGCCAAGTTAAGAAGAGCTGAGGCTCAGTGTGCTGATGGGGAATAAACTAGGCATCAGACAACCTGGATTCCAAGTCCAGTTCTGTCGCTTTGTAGGTGTGAGATGTCAGGAAGCGGCTACCTCATTGAGCATAATTTTTCTCTGTAGAAATGGAGATACAATATCTACCTCAAGTCGGATCAAATCAGCTCAGTAAATGTTCCTTGAAAACAACAGAGCCCCGACAAAGAGATAAAGACACAAAGACGCAGTGGATGACAGAACTCAGCAAGGATTGCCTGCTGGCTTCTGCTGGCTTAGTGCTTGGGGCAGGCTTGCTTCTGGAGGTAGAGACCTGCTTAGCTGCCTAAGATGGGTGACACTCCCCATCTGATGACAGGAGGCCTCATCGCCCTACCAGCTATACTCAAGGCTCTAGGCTCTTCCATCTAATTAGAATGCCCTTCTTTCTTGTGTGCTTGACAAACTCTGTTTAGCTTCCACTCATCTTCTCCCCTGCTCTCAAAGGTGCCATTACACATCTACACATCCTACATACCTTCTTTGTAGTCTATTATCTTACTATTTGCAATTATCAGCTTAAAGATCTTATCCACTGGTGTATGAGTAACCTCAGGGTAGGGCCCATATCATAGAACTATCCATACAATAGAGACTCATCAAACAAAAATGTTTAATGAAAAAATAATAAAAAGAGGCTACACCAATAAGCATATGAAAGGAGCTCAACATCGTCAGTCATTAGGGAAATGCAAATCAAAACTACAATGAGATACCACTTTATACTCATTAGGATGGCTCAAATCAAAAATAAAAGTAAAATAGCAAGTGTTGTAAAGAATGTAAAGATATTGGAACTTTCATACATTCCTGTTGGGGAATGTAGAATGGGCAGCCACAGTAGAGAACAGTATGGCAGCTCCTCAGAAAACTAAACACAGAATTACCATAACCCAGCAATTCCACTCCTGGGTGTATATGCAAGATAAATGAAAACATATACCCAAACAAAAACGTATACACAAATGTTCATAGCAGCATTATTATTAACAGCCAAAAGGTGGAAAAAACCCAACTGTTCATCAACTTATGAAAGGCTAACAAAATGTGGTATACCCATACAAGAGAGTATCATTCAACCATAAAGAGAAATGATGTACTGACTCATGCTACAACATGGATGAATCTTAAAAATATTATGCAAAGTAAAAGAAGCCAGACACAAAGGCCATTTATTGATTTCATTTATATGAAATGTTCAGAATGGGTAAATCCATAGAGACAAAAAGTAGTTTCGTTGTTACCAAGAGCAGGCGGAAAAGGGCAATAAAGAGTGACTGCCCAATGGGTAACACGGATTTCTTTTCTTTCTGAGTGATAAAAATATTTTGGAATAAAATAGTGGTGATGGTTACAGAACACTGGGAATATATATACTAAAAAACACTCACTTGCACACACTTTAAAATGGTTAAAATGGTGAAATTCACATCAAATGAAATATATCTCAATAAAAAATTAAGTTACCACTTGTGGAATGTCTACTACATGTCAGATACCTCTATAAAGATCTCCATATAAATTATACCTCATAACAATCCTGCAAGTAGGTATTAAAAGCCACATTTTTTTTTCCCCAAAAAAGAAGAAATGAGCCTCAAAGAAAGAAAACTCTCTTCCTAAAGTCACCCAGCTGGGAAGGTACACAGCCAAGATGTGCTCTAATCAACATGCCTCCTAAGCCTATGCTTTATCCCCTCTAAACACATTCCTGGAACATGGTAGAGCCAGAATAAATACTGAATGAATGAGGGAATGATAGCTACAGTTGAGGACATCCAAATTCCCCAGCCTAAGTTCAAAGCAGAAGACCACTTGACTCC